ACCTGTTGTCTGGTTCTGGGTACATGGTCTGCATAGAGCCAGTGTTTGGTGTCTACATGGTGTCAGTGAGTTTGAGATAGCACCCTGTGTGGTTGGTTGATTCTCTGATGGTTGACCAGACTGGAATGATGTGTATGCACCGCATTCTACAATCAAATCAAGCAGATTACCATTCAGTTGCTAAGAAGTGAATCATCCGCATGTATGACTTAAATATATATAAAATGCAATGTATCAGTTAACTTTTTTTTATTCATATTAATATTAACTTGGACAGAGCTTTAGAACTCTTATCTGCGCTGCGTAATCCTTCATTATAGAAGATGAACCTGTAATACAATTTTTCTTGAGATATGAAGCCAATCCACATCATGGTCCAACAGGAAACTCTATATACATGTACATGTACATTACCAGCTGCTTCAGGTTGATTTTGTAATTTTCTTCTCTTCCATTCTCTGCTACCTTCTCCCTCATCCCCGTCAGCCATTCTAAGGGGAAGCGATCAAAGGATTGTATCTTGAGCAGTACACAGAGTGAGCTATGTGTTGGAGTACATTTATGATTGACAACACATGTCCGTGTAGCAAACTGTTGTAGAAAGTCTGTGCCAAGGTCGTGGTGTTCACTTCTTAAGGTGAACACACTCCAGTAAATTGCAGCTACCCCCTGTTCATTATACAAATAACGACCATGAGTGCAATGGAATGTTCCATTCTACAAGGTGAAGCCTTGTGGAATGGGACGCTCAATCTGTCACCGAATGAAATCAATTTTTCCATTGCACAAATGGGAATTGTTTGTCATTTGTTTCATACAATGTGTGGAGGGCTCTTTGTAACATCTACAAGTCAGCCTTTATTCAATTTCAAAGTCTGGCATAAAAGCGTAACCCAAACTATTCACACCCTGAGCCATGACTGAAGTTTTGCCTGTGATTTGTCTTGTGTCACTGATCTCCATCTATACAGATACACATTGATAGACATCAACTACGCAAAACAGCAGTGAATGTATGCCCAATTAGCATGGTTCTTTCATGCAGCTTGCACGTGAAGAGCCACAATATTTCCTGCCATGCAAGGGCGTAACTCAGTGCTACATTTAACAGGGTGTGAAGTCACGCCACATAACATGCATGTACATGTACCCAGTAAGTCAATGACACATTACTGACACCTTCCAATCATATCACGGGTCACAATTGTTGAGTTTATGTCGTTGTACATGCCACAACATTTGAGTTTTAAATGACATCATTACTGAATTTTTTCCTGCTATGATTTATATTCAGGCAACAAAAAGGGATTACATATGTACAGTAGGCCTACGTTGGAAAAGTTAGCAGGGGAAAGAGTTCCATCATACAGACAGTAATTATTCCCTATAGTGACCTATAAGCCGTCAGAAAGCAAAAACTTATAAATCCAGAAAAGTTCAATTTAGGAAGGAAGAAAAACCAAGTCATTTTAATACTTAGAAAACACTTCAAAATTTCCTGACCAGTCTCACAGTGTTTGTGCACAGGGTGTCAAGCAGCGTCCACAGAACTTTTTCCTCAGTACAGCAGGGTAAATACTGACAAACACTCAGGCCTAGCCTACCATACTGTAACAAAATTTGAGCTTTTTTTTTCACGGCAAGCAGTTACTCTTTTAACCTTAACCACCAAGCATATCGTTTGGCTTACACTACACAGTACTACAAAATACTAGGTAATAGTCTAAGCCTGAAGGACCTAGCGCTACAAATTACTATTTCTGGCTAGGTTACTTCCATTGTTACTCATACAGAGAACAATAAAGCCATGCATTCATAGTGGCACAGCACTGTATGGTACATTGTCTTATCTATTGTATCTTATAGCTTCAGAGAACAATAAAGTCATGTCCTCTTACAAGCGACAGCGCTCAGTACTACATTTTACTACAAGTAGTAATTTGTAGTATTATGGAGGGTTAGGGTTAATGTAGGCTACACTATGGCACTGTAGGCTCCTATTGTTCATTTACCTTTTGTTCTCTATTTCACTGTGGAGCCCTGGCCCGGCTCTGTGTGTTCAGAAATTCTAGTTTGGGCTGTTCACTGCAGGAATTCTGGTCCTTTCATATGAGCAGTTGTGCTACATTCTTTTTGGATGACTTTTACTGCAGGCTTATAAAAGCTGCCTGCAGCATAGTCAGGGTGTGGATTTGCGGCCAGGGTATGGCAGTGGAAGGTGGTGTGTAATTTCGTCTCACATTTTCAGCACAGTGGTGCCTACTTATGTATCTATGCATCTTTAGTCATTTGAAATGACTGAATTTATGCTGCTTTACACCACCACTACCATTTATTCATTTGTTTGGAAGGGGTTCAGTGCATGGTCTGCGTAATCTTTCTGTATGTTCCAATTTCTTTTCATTTAGTTTTGCCTTGTTCTCACCCTTGCTACGCCCAGACTACGGTGCCTTCATAATATGTGCTCTGCCAGTCACTGCGTGTATGTTCTTTTTATTTTTTTTATATACAATGTGTAATTTCCTCCAATTTATAAGCCAACCAGCCTTCCCCTGTGGTCTTTTAATCATACTGTCTGCAGGTGAAGAAGCATCTATTAAATTAGTAATTTCAGTTGTTAAACAGTACATGGACTTCTTGTGTTTTCATTGTTTGGTTTTCCACGAAGTATCAAACTTAATGTAAAATAGCTAGTCCCCCCCCCCGGTTGGCCCCTTGTGGGTTGCCACAAAATTCAAAGAAAACACTTTACAATTTAGTGCTGGACATTTGATCTAGGCCTAACAGTACAGCTTAGTCCATTTAGAACATTTGCCTAACCATGTCCAAATGTATAAAAAAAGGCAATTTGTAGGGTCCAAGTTACTCAGACTAGTATCACAGCTCAGCTCTCGCAATTTAAAAAGTTTCGATATTTTGCTGGAATAATGTTACAGGTTGTAGGCCTGTGTACAGTACGGATAAAAACTCGGTCTTGCCTACTTAAATGCTTGTATTCAGGTAGGAGGCTAGGACATTCTTTGTATCACATGGCTAGGCTCTTTAAAATTCTAAGGGGTAATCATGGTTAGCCCACTAGTGTGACACGGACTCGACTCCATGCCACACTAGTGGGGCTAAATCATGGTGTGTCCTTCCTCTATGGGTTAATGAACGAAGTTGTAACAACACAATTAACAAACCTTAAAGGCCTAGGCCTACATGTACATGTACTTCTGATGAACGGCCTGACGATCTTTCGTTTCTGTAGGCATACATTTCGAGACCCGAAGTCAAACTTTAACTTTCCGGTGTTTTCCAGTACATAAATTATTTCCAGTTTTTCCTGTCAGGCTCTTAGTCCTACTAGTTCAAGTAGTCACCATGTTGATCACACTGAGATTTTGCCTGCTGGTTTCTGAAACACTTGAAGTCACGTTTTGTGCCCGCATTTTCTCCTTCCATGGTGCACAGGCCAAACTATCCTAAAGAACATAACCACAGTGCACCCGTGAAGCGCATGCTGTGGCCTTGACCTACATAGTAGAGTCCAGACCAG